TGCACAGGTGTTCCTTCAGATAGATGTTCTCTTAGATGTTCCTGGTGCATGTTGTCTCTCTCCTCCTTTATAGTCCTCTTTCACCAATCCCAACTCTGCTACCCACACGCCGAGTACGCTGCTCTCCTCCAATCAGGAGCAGGTCCTGCTGTTTATTGGTTGAACTGGAGGCAGCTGTGTAGAAGCTGTTTCCTCCTCTCCAGCGCCATATTGTGGGAGAGCAGATGCATAGAATAAGTCTTAATTCCAGTAACTTAGTCTAGTCCGTGTTGCTCCCAGTTGCTCCCCACATATACTCACAGGAATGTACGCATATATATGTCTGTGAAGTCTTAAACAGCTGAAGGAACTTGACTCTTTATCCTAAGCTTCATTTCATGTATATGGAAGCTATTCTATATATTTCTTCATGTTTTATTTACTCCAAGTAGAAAAAAATGAACTATTCTCTTACGAGTAGCCACAGGCATGTTCCAAGTCGGTGCTGTAGCGATGAACTTGACCTTGAGTGTGCTGTCAATGCAGCTGCTTTAATGACGCTGTTCCTCCAACTTCATAAACTCTAAGAAAGCGTGGTTTCCAGGAGGGTACCTGCACAATACTTGCAATAAATGAAAACTACATTAAATTGTTCAGATACACATATCCAGCAGTAGAGAAAGAACTCAGCCTTGCTGTATGCTAAGAAAATGGGCATTTGCCCTCCGCCAAGGCTGTGTATCCCCTTGACTCTGAAGGTGGCACTGTGATAAAACCAGGGAAGAACTTTCATTATTCCCACCGAGGTAAGAAGGTGCCTTTAAGGTAGGCTGGGCCAGCTAAGTCACATTGAGAGGAGACAGCTGCGCTGTGCTGCTGTCACCTCTTTGCTTGACCAGTGGCTTTCCCTTCTGTTCCTGTGGCTCCTGATTCAGCTTTTGCCTTGGAGGGGAGATTTTATCTGTTCATGCATCTTTATGTGGCCTTTCACCAAACCTAGATTTGCATTCCTGTAACTGACCCACACTTATTGTGTGTCCAATCTGATTTGCTCTGCTGTAGTGTAGAACACACAGGGGACCTTCAAAACATTTGTGGAAAATGCATATCATGAAAAAGCTGCAATTTCATTTTTTTGCACCAAAAATAAACTTTTCCTTAAATGCCACTTTTTAACAATGTTTTCAAGTATCTTATATAATTTGTAAAGAATTCCAGACTTTGGATTCTGAAATTGAGAGTGAAGCTGAAGAAACTGAAAATGTTAGCATCTTGATTGCTTTTCTCAGTGTGGAAATGCTGTTTTTAGCCTGAAATCTGCAGTTTTCTGTGGGATATGGGGTTGAAAGACTTGCTTCTGCAACAGATTATTGAGGACAACACCTGCTGTCGCTCCCCCTCTTCATGGAGGAGCGACACTAAACCCTGCCTAGGCTTCATATCTGAGTCACGGCACCATTATGTCGCTCCCCGTCTTCGCAGGGGAACGACACAAGACCCTGCGCTGTTCTTTTGTCTGCTCGGCCCTCCCCGGGTTTGCTGCTGGTTCTTCCCGGGTTGGCTACCGACCCTTCCACCTCCGTGGAAGGGCGGTTCCCCCTGCCACTTTCGCCACTTTCCCCACTTCCGCGGGGGAGCGGCACACCGCCGGCCAGCTCTCTTGGGGGCTGCTCAGGTGTTCCTTCAGATAGATGTTCCTGGTGCATGTTGTCTCTCTCCTCCTTTATAGTCCTCTTCCACCAATCCCAACTCTGCTACCCACACGCCGAGTACGCTGCTCTCCTCCAATCAGGAGCAGGATCAGCTTCTGCAGGTCATCACTCAAGTTGGCGAGAGGCAGATGCGTAGAAGTTGTTACTCCCTTCTCAGCGCCATATTGTGGGAAAGCAGATGCATAGAATAAGTCTTAATTCGAGTAACAGTCTAGTCCGAGTTGCTCCCCACACCTGCTGCTTTTATCTGATGTATAATAGTTTACTTATTGCAAAATATTTTTTTAACAAACAAGATCCATATTCGGCTTAAATTTCTCTTTTAAATAGTTTTTAAAAAGATTTACTTATTGATTTATTTGAAAGATGAGAATGAGAGAGAGAGAAATTGAAAGAGAGAGAGAGAGAAACTGAAAGAGAAAGGGAGAGAAATTGAAAGAGAAAGAGAGAGGGAATTTTCCACCCATTGGCTCACTCCCAAATGGCTTAACAGCTGCGGCTGGGCCAGGCTGAAACCAGGAGCCAGGAATGCATTGGGGTCTGCCGCATGGATGGCAGAAACTCCAGTACTTGAGCCATGATGGTGTGCCTCACAGGTGCACTGGCAGGAAGCTGGGAGCGGAGTAGCTAACACTGGAAGCAGCGCTCCTAGAAGTGACGCAGGTGTCGCACGTGGTGACTGAACCCCTGGCTACATACAGTGCCACCTCCCATGCTCACCTTAACTAAGCTCAGTTGATTCCTGTTGAATTTTTCTTTTTTTTTTTCACATATGAGTTGCATAAATCCCAAATGGTGATGTTTCTAGCAATATGTTTTCAAGATTTTTTTTGCAACCTTTGAAAAGTTCTCACATATAAATGAAAATAGGAAAATAAATGGCCTTGGGATGGTGGATTGCAATGAAAGTATTAAAGTCATTATTCTGTAGGTAACAAATAGGTAAATAGAAATTGTGTCCTCCCAACAAGGAAGGTTAATCATTGCTAGTTTGCTACGAAGTCTGGTAACTAGAGTTTCTATGTAAAAAGTTCTGTAAGTGTTCTGTACTGATTTCATGATCATAAAGTCTCCCTTTAACCTGCCGACACCTCCTCAAACCTGTCTTTCCTTTGACTCCCTGCACATGTTGGCTGCTTAACCCTGGGAAGTCGCCTGTCCTGCTGCTGTTGTCCTCATCAGTGCATCCCTGAGGTCTTTGGAGAACCTCATGTGATCCATCCCACGCACCAAGAGCTCTTTGGAGTAGGGGAGTGTTAACTGATTGCTTTTCTTTGCCCTGCTTGGGTTGGTTCATCAGGGTTACTTCCCAGGATCAGTGGTTTTGCCTCAAAGTAGAAGCATCTCCCAGAGCCTGAAAGTAGGGCGGTGCTGTGGTAGCAAAGCCCAACAACTGTGCTGCTTGGGAACTGTGGGTGAGAAGGAAAACTCCCTTCTTAGTAGGAATTTGAAATTCCATTTGCTTCACACAGATTGCTGGTGCGTTTAAACTTTACTTGAGAGGGAGAGACTGTTCTCATGTGTGTGGGGGGGAGTCTTCCAGAGCTCATGCAAAGTGCTTCTGATGAAGAAACCTTAGGCTTCAAAAATTTTTTTGCACCACAGTAATCTTATCTTTTAATTCCATTTTCCACAAACTTTTTGAAATACCTCTGTAATTCCTGTAAGTGAGATTCTTGTCCTAGCTAGATCAGATAATTCAGGATAAACGGCTGTTCGCACCCTCATCATTTCTTTCAGCCAGGTAAAATAGATTTTTCTTTCTTTTCTTCAAATGACTGCTATTGGACTTCGGTCTAGCGTCCTGAGTCGCAACTTTAGATTTGTAGAGAGAAAAGCAGGTGTGTGTTCCGTGGCCATTTTTCCCATGACTGATTTTTCTTGGTTCACAAGGCCACAGCGTGCTCAGAGGAATGGTGCAGTTTCTCTAAACGATGACTTGATGCACTTGGCACTCATCAGCCGAAGATTCTGATCAGGAGAGCGCTTCCTGTCCCCCGGGCTCGCCTGTCCCAGAGTCAGAGATACGCCTCAGGGAGATGGGATTGGGAACCACAGTTGCTACAATCAATATTTTAGCTTCCTCTCTGTCATTGTTTTTTTCTCCTCGTATTCTCTGATTCTGCCTCTGCCTTCCAGCCACTGTGCTCATCTGTGAGAGACATTATTGGGTTTGCATTGAATTTAGTCCAGCAAATTGTTGTGTTAGTCACCTAAGCGAAATCGCAAGTTAACAAACTCTGGAATTTCCAGTATTTTCTTGTGACATGTTCATGTGATCATGGCTGTTCCCTCTGCTCATTGTTGAGCCTTGCTTTGTTAATCAATTAGCAAGTACAAAATTCCCTTAATCCTAGGCAGAACCCTTTGCTACTACTCATGGTGTCTTTGTGAAGATTAAAACAACAACGACAACAAAGCCTCCTCTGGACAGATTCTGAACTATTCTGTCCTCCGGGCAGGGCGAGTGGAAAAGGACACTCCTCCAGAGGCCCATGGCTGCGTGTGTGGGAGCTGATTCTGCCCCGTATCCCCTTGGTCCCCTGCTCCTGGTCAGCCTGCATGACCGTCATGGTAGCGTGAGACCAGGCCAGGGGGGCAGGGCATGGCATTCCAGAGAGCTGAACCTTCTCATCTCCAAGTTCTGGAAAGTTCCCTGGTTTCATTTGCTGACTTGCTGGGAGTTCTTCCGCCTTGATGGCGGTACTCTGTGAGGAGGGAAGTCTGGGAATTCCCATTTGTAGTTGGGATAAAATGAGATGAGCTTGGTGGCAGGTGCATACAGTTCTTCCTTACCAGCTTGTGGTGGTACCAAGAACATCACAGGGTCTTTTATAAAAGAGAAAATCCACTTCCTGGATAGAAATCCAGGCAGTCACTTGGTTAGAGTGCTTTACAGAATTTCCTGTAACTTCATTATGAAATGATATGGGAATGCAGGTAGCTAAGTAGGTGGCACCTGAAATTTTGAAATTCGTGAATATTTTTTTTCCACATTGTACATGTTCCATGAAGTCAAAGACTACCTCCCCACCACGTGCTTGGATTTCAAGATCTTTTTTGCACCAAAAGAACCTTATCTTTTAAATCATTTCCATGAGCTTTTTGAATTACCCTCACACATATGTATGCATATGTATGTGTGCATGTATATAGATGTGCAAATGGACATATGGACCTTTTATGATGTGCAATTATCTGTTGATAATAACTCTCACAAGAGTAAGTAATTATCATCCAAACTATTATCCAAACAAGAATGCATGGCTCGGCGCACTCACGGTGTTTTTCTCCTTTTTCTCATTCCAGGTGACGTGTTTCACATCACTGCTCCCCAAAAATTCACCTATGAGGAGGCAGACGCAGAGTGTAAGCACCAGGACGCCAGGCTGGCGACGGTGGGGGAGCTGCAGGCGGCCTGGAGGAACGGCTTTGACCAGTGCGATTATGGGTGGCTCTTGGATGCCAGCGTGCGCCACCCTGTGACTGTGGCCAGGGCGCAGTGTGGAGGTGGTCTACTTGGGGTGAGAACCCTGTATCGTTTTGAGAACCAGACAGGCTTCCCTCCCCCTGATAGCAGATTTGATGCCTACTGCTTTAAACGTAAGTGTTTAATTCCTTTTTTAAAATTATACATTAAGAAACCAAATGCTTGAAAGGCATGCTCTGATGTTTAGCCATTGGAATGCATTCTGTGTCTTGCAGTATGTGCATGGGATGGAGACGGTCCAGTAGCTTGCAAAAGCTGGTACTCTGAACAGCAGGGATATGGTTCAAACTGCAGGAAATTTGATGAATGAATTTTTAGAGAGCATGACAGAATATCAGGTGAAGGTCTTAACTGTGCCCGGTTGCACCCAGAATCATAGAACATATTTCTGAGTAGTTCTTTGAATGTTGTCCTTGAATGCAATTGATTTTGGGGACTGTGAAGCCAAAGCTGACTGTGGCTGAGTTAAACCCCTGAATTCTGTTTATTTTGTTTTTGGGAGAGAATTTAAAGTTCAGTAATTGCAGGTGAGTACTTCGAGCTGACATTGATAATCACAGTGTTCTTTTCATACAAAAACTGAAAGTGCTATAAACAAAAATACCCACCTATCTCGCTGTATTTCAAGTAACGAAAATAGGTACCTCCTGCTGAGTAGCTCAGTATTGATAATTGAAGTGCAGTTGTAGCATATAAAATAGATGAGCTAGTTTCAGTTAGGTTTGCTACTGAATATGACTTTTACAAAATATTTCCCAATGTTAATGATATAACTTTTTATTTTCAAGTGTCTTTATCTTAGTAACATTAGGCACATGATGAGATAGTATCGTAAATTGCTTAATTAAACAGCAATTCATTTAGTCTCTTTGTAAAATGTACAGTAGGGTCTACATTGTGCTGGCTAACCAGTTATCTCCCAGAATTTTGGGGGACCTTCTGTGTGTTCAAGACTAAGTTATGTTATTTTGAAAAGTAGTAAACCTTTTTACTAAGTTTCCAGTGTATGGAAATAGATAATTAAAATGAGTAGAAAGCACCCTCGTTTATTATGTAAAGTGAAATACAGGGATTTTATCATCAGAAAAAGACACGAGCTGTGACGTGTAAGCGGTCAGCATTAGAACTGAGGTGAGTGGATGGAAAGGCTTGATTCTTGCACTTGTGTCTTCCAGCGCACGTACCTCAGCTGACCCTCCACGCTGGGTGTCAAACCACGTGTTGTACATCAGCTTGATTCAAGCTGGCTGAGCCGCAAGTGGTCACAGAACTATTAACTTTCGTTCTCAGGCCCTAAAACAACAGAGAAAGTCTTCCTTAGTCATTTTCAGGAAAACAAGCAACGGCAAGAACAAAAGCCTTGCCCTCAAAGTAGGCAGGTAGACATTCCTTTAAGCCCAATTCTCGCAATAGTGATTTTCAAATTCCGGCTTAAAGCTCAGTTTTATATATGGAGTGACAGAGGAGACCAGATTGACACGGGGGTGGCGTGGGGTGGGGTTGAGAGGTTAAATTAGGGAAGGAAGACACTAACCTAACTACCTTAGTGGTTAATGTTTTTTTCAATAACTGGCACCAGAAAACTTAAAGATTTTTTTTGTCTCTGCAAGGATAAAATTTTTCTCTGCAAGGGTTAAAACAAGTCAGTCTTTAGCCTCAACGAGAGCTAGTTAAGAATTTCATCCTGATGTGTTTATCAATTGTTTATTTAAATACACTGACACAAATGCATGAAATAAAGTACTTAGATTTAAGTAAAATAACTACCTACTAAAAATTTTTGTAAAACGCAAAAAAGTTTGAAGGTTTAGGCTTATCTGCTTGTCTCTAATTCATTTAAATATGTATACCTGGGAAATACAATGGATTAATATTTCCCCACTTAAGCTTGAGTCTAGATTTCTGCTATTTATTTATTTCCTACCAAAGACTCTATTATACTGAGAATTCACTCAGCAAATACACTGTTAAGAGGTTTAGTCAGGGGCCTGCATCTGTGACGTACTGGATTAAGCTGCCAGTTTCCGTCCCTTATCGGAGTGCTGGTTTGAGTCCCAGCTGCTCCATCTGTGATCCAGTTCCCCGCCAATGACCCCGAGAAGACAGCAGAAGATGGCCCGAGTCCTTGGGCCCTTGGCACCCGTCTGGGAGAGCAGGATGGAGTTCCTGGCTGATGACTTCAGCCTGGCCCAGATCTTGCTGTTGCAGCCATTTGGGAAGCAAACCAGCAGATGGAAGGTTTCATTCTATCTGTCTCTCCCTCTCTGTCTCTCTACCTTTCAATCAAATCAGTCTTAGAAAAGAAGAAAGGTTAGCCAATAATGAAGGATTCCCCATGTCACACACAATGCCAAGAGATTCCCCGAGTTTCTCGTTGATTTTACTAGGGTTCCCTTAATACGTATTTTTAAAGGATTTGAAAAATGTTCTCAAAATGAATTGACTGGTGTCTGCTTTTCTCACATAGCCGAGTGGTGACTAACTTCTGGAGGGTGTCCTTTTTAAGAGTTGTGGTCTAAGCTCATTCCCAAAGGGGTTTCAGAGGTGTACAGCTGGGTGGTAAAGTAGAGGAATTTGAGAAGATAGCCATATTTTTCTTGTTTACCAAATATAGAAAGTGATTTTTAAAGCCACTTGGTGAATGGACAATGCCAAATCTTACTTTGTTAGAATTCCCTTTCCTTATAAAGTCACTGTCGAGAACCGATGCCTGGTAATAAAGACAACTAGAATCTGTTCTTGTCAAATGGGCCTGAAGAACAGATCAACTAAGATCTGTGAAGTAACCTTTGCGGGTGTATTTTCCCTTGATTCAACGACATTGTGCACTTTTTATTTTTCTTTTCCTCATTAAGCAAGTTCTGTGAATGTTAGAGTTATTCAGCACTTTGAAAGGTCACCCCATACCCCCAAATTGAAGTGAATTAAAACCATTCCAGACTCAAGACAATCTCACTAAATGTTCACCAGGAGAGGGAAATAGGACTAGCACTGGCAGCTGGATTTCCTAGTGAGGGCCATCGCGCTAGACTTTGAACCCCACTTTTCCACATCTAAATGACAGCCATTTCAGTTGTCCAGCACAGCTGTTTAGTTGTCCCTCCACACCTTCTCCGACTGAAACAGTTCCCTTGTTCATGAAATTCCAATCTCATCTATGTGATCCTGTGTTGAACAGTCACTGTTTGTTGTGTACCTGTGTTTGATGAAATTTGCAACTAGAAGTGGTGGTGCGGGGAAGGCTAAAGTACTTGCCACCACTTCCCATGCTAGCTTGTGTATTTGTTCCCTTTGCAATTGGCCTGACTTCCCAAGCTATCGTCAGTCCATTATCTTTTTTGTGTCCTAGATCACAAACTGACCTTTTGTGCCAAAACGAATCCTTCCTCATTGATATTTCAAAGGTGTTTCCTGCCTGTTGAATTTGAATCTGTTAGCATTCAATCACTCATAAAACTTGGAAAAGGTCAAATTCAAGTTCAGTTCCCAAAAGTGTGAACCCAGAATCAACCTCTTAGATAGCTGCCCTAGTTGCAACTTCTTCCCATGTTGATACTTATTTTTGTATATCAAATTTGATATAGAAGAACCAATTTAAATTAGTCACTGCTCCATAATGTAGACAGTATGGGTATGAGCTAAATCCACTGTCATGCTGCTAAAAGGGGTTTTATTTTATTAGGAAAATCTGCCGCATGTCTCCCAACAGCAGCATGGAGGAGATAGTTGACAGGACATAAAATGCCATAAGTACAGTGATGCAAAACATCTGTGTGGCAAACAGCTGCAAAGGTTGGAAGGGAAATTTTGTGGGAAAAGCAGCAATGCTGATTTTTGTTGGCTTCCTCATTAATGAAGCTGAAGGAACACTGGTAGTTTTCCAGGACCAAGATTTCTCCGTGTGACTGCACCTTCTGGAAGGACACTCTCCGAATGAGCCGGAGTTGTGTTTGCATTTCTGTAATAGATCATTAGCATGGCGGTGCGTATTCCTAGGACAACTCTCTGTGGATATTTGTGCTTGTTGAAATGATTTCCTTTTTTGGAAAGGCTGAAACAAATGGCACAGATGATGAGATGCAAGGAGTTATGATGGAAATCAGCTGTTAGGTTGACGAAACACCGCCCAAACCCAAAGGAAGTCTGAGGTTTGCCATTCCAAGTAGGAGAATTAATTAACTTAATTATAAGCAGATTTTTAAAACAGGGCTCCAAAATTACTGAGAACCCTTGTTTCTGAAAAGAAAGTCACAAAAATCCTCATCTTGTGAGTGGACTCTGAGATTGCTGTCACTTTTTTGGGCAGGGGGACAAGGAAGGTTAGAGCAGAGTGTGCAGCGACAAACGACAGTGACTTATGCTTGTTCGGCTTTTAAAGCCTGAGCCCATTTTTCAAACACTCTCAAAATATGATTTCCCTGGCTTTGCAGAGAGTTGGTAACAGAGAGCTTGGGCTGGAAACTGGGAGAAGTGGATTCACAGCCTCTTTGTCCCTCATGCAAACTCACCTCCTTTTAAGCTAATTCCATCAACCGTGGAAACACTCAGAGGGAAAAAGTAAAAATAGCTTTTTTGTTGTTATTAGTAATAATATGATTAAGTTTTCTCTGATATGCAATCTGCTAAGAGTTCATATTATGTTTCCATGGGAACTTGGTCCGTATGTATTTTTTACTATTTCCCCAAAGAATTTGGTTAGAGGACAAACATGAAATTTGGCCGTTAAATGAGGTAACGGTTATGGAATTTCAGAGGATAGAGAATTGAATTAAAAGAAATAGTCATCCACATTTTGGGTCCATAAGTTGTTCATGTCAATCAAAATTGACCAATGCTTCTTGTTGGAAATGTGTGCAGAAAAGACTTCTCTTAAAAGGGGCAGAGAAATGTTATGTAGCTTGGCTGTTCAAGACGACACCTCTTTGTTTTTGCTGTAGTTTTGTTTTAATATAAAGAGACAAGTGGTGGCAGGTTTTCAAGGATATGTAGATGTACTAAAGTGGCCACCATGTTTGCACTGTAAAGTTGATGAACCTGGGCTGTACCATGGTCTGGGAATGACAACAGCTACGAAGAGCTTAATGCAGACAAACGAGGCGTGATCTATTCTCATCCCCTTCCGGTTTCTGGCCCAGTGACCTCCCGTTGTTGTTTTTCAAGGGCTCCTGTTTGGGGACAGCAAGAAGAAAGTCGCAAGGTGCTGGAGATCCTGCGTGCAGTAGAACCCTTGTCAGGAGGACAGCATTGCCCACAGAGCTAGCTTTCAGCCCCAGCAGGCATAGCAGGAAACCGACCACAGGTGTCCTCAACAGTTCCTTCTCAAGTCAGCCACAACTAGTTTTTTATTTTCTAAAATACTCATTTTCTTCAAAAAAAAAAAAAAAAAATCCCAGTCTCTGCAGTAGGCTGCTGTGTTTTCTTGTGTCCGGGAGGAATCTTGTTTACAACACTGGAACTTTTATAAACAATTTAAATTTCTTTAAACAGGCCAGGCCATTCTCTGTAAATTTCGAGGCATTATAACGTAGCATTTTATGATGACAGGTTACTCGAGATAGCTGAGCCCATTCTTTCTGTTGCTCTGGGTTGTTCCCAGTGATTTGTAATTACAGACCTAAAATACAGCCTGTGGGTACCTGACTTCCTGTACATTTGTGTTCCATGCTAAAGTAAGCCTGGAACCAAAGCCCCTCCGAAGTCCCTGGTGTGCAGAACATAGAGCCGGTGTAGAGATCCCACAAGTAGCACCCAGCCTCTGCCAGACTTCTCCCGGAGGCTCCAGTCTCCTCCACAGAGGTGAAGTTGAAAGGAAGATGAAACCAATGGCCCGCACCAGGAAGGAAGGGACGAATGGTACCAAGAGTTTTCCTGAGCAGTCTCATGGTGTATATGTAACTCGGCCCCACTCGCTGTGGCTTTTTTGTTGTCTTCTAATCTTCAGCATTCCCTCCTCCCTGAGATGGACACTCTACAGCTTGAGAGAGGGACAGAGTACGTGGAAAGAGCTACAAGCAGGGTACCTAACAGTAGCTTCCTACGAGGCTGCAGGTTGCTGTTGTAGATTCTGATAAACTCTTGGCTATACCCAAACTCTGCATTTGTGCTTTTTTTTTTTAAAGTGATTTCTCCTTACATTAAACTATCTGGTGTTTATTTTCCTTATCTGAGAAGAATCATTCATGTCTGTGGGTAAAAACAGTGATAACCTCACCAGAGGAGACAACTCATCAATTTGTGACTACTGAGTGTTCAGTGCTCCGTCTTTGGGTTAGTTTCAATGTAACTTTTAGCCTCGTCTCCATCACAAAACACTTTGAAGTCATTCCAAAATACACAGAAGCACTGACCAAACACGGGGCATACTATTTTTTTGTTAGTGAATTCTCTAATCAACTCTTTGAAATTATTTTTCTAGCTAAACCGAATATATCAGAGGCCACAACCATCGAATTGAACATCCTCGCAGAGACCACATCACCCAGTTTATCCAAAGAACCACAAATAGTGCCCAAGAGAACCACACCAATCATCCCTTTAGTCACCGAGTTACCTATCCTTACAACAAAGTCCCCTCCTGTGGGAAGAGTAGTCAATGTTGAACAGAAATCCACAGCCCCACCTCAGGCTGTACCAGACAGATTATCCACAGGGCCACCCACACCTGGTGGGGGTACCAGGGAGCCCTGGGAAATGGACTACTACTCACCTTCTGCTTCAGGACCACTTGGAAAGCCAGAGCTGTCTGACACGGAGGAAGAAGTGTTGCAGGGTACACATGCCATCCCCCATCATGCTACAGATTCGTGGGATGGTACCCTGGAAGACACACAAACACAGCAATCAGTCACACAGAGTGAACAAATAGAAGTGGGCCCCTTAGTAACATCTACGGAAATCTCAAAGCACGCTCCTGCCAAGGAGTTCTCTGTAAGCGAAACACCTTTTGTATCTACAAGAATGACCTTGGGATCCAAAACCGAGAAGAAAACAGAAGGCACTCTTTCTGAATCCATGACCACAAGTCACGATGGATTCACCTTGGGCAAAGACAATGGTGAAGACGGAGCACTCACAGCCAGGCCTGCCCAGAGCACCTTGGTCTTGAGCCCAATACCCGAAGTCGTTACAGTGTCAAAGATTTCGGAAGGCACCAGCCGCTCTCAGTTCCAGGACTTGGAGTCAGTCTCAGCCTCTACAGCTGTGCCCGACAGTGACAGACCGTCCACGGACAACTGCAGGGGGAAGCCCACTGATGATGTTGGCCAGTATGTGTCCGCTACACCCTTCCCATCAGTAGAATTATTCCCTTACTCCGGTGATAAAACAGTAGAGGAAATCCTCCCAGGGATGTATCTTCCCTCACAACCGGAAATGACCCAAGGAAGAGAAAGAACGCAAACGCCAAGCCCCGAGAGAACAGTGGCTTACACAGGTGATGGCGTACGAGAAGGAGAGATCAGCAAAGCTCCAGGTATGGGAGCAGCAGAGGAAGAAGGTGGTTTCTCAGGAATGAAGCTCTCCACGGCTTCCTCAGAGCAAATTCCTTTTACGGAGTCTTCCGTGACAACGACCAGATCTTTTGGTGCCCCACCATCGACAACCCCGTCCAGTGTGGCGCCGACAGAAGCGAGAGACGGGGAGGAAGAGTCCACGCAAACTGTGACTGGATTGGAAGCAGATGGCTCTCAGGTTCTCACGAAGCATGATGTAGACAGCACAGCGGTGCGTTTGACCGGCAGTACTTTCAACGTGGAGGTGGTCACGGTGTCCAAATGGCCCTGGGATGAGGACAACGCAACATCGCAGCCTGGAGAGTCCACAGAACACGCCGGCTCTCCGGAGGGGCCGCCTGCTTTCCCAACCACGGTGGGAGTAAACGGGAAAGAGGAAGAAGCCCCAAGTCTCACTGAAGACAGAGACGAATTCACTCCTGTTCTGGATAGTACTCAAAAGCCGTTAGAAAAGGTTACTGGGGAAGATGCTGCCGATCATGGGAAATTCACAGTGAGATTTTGGCCAACGACATCAACTGGTCTTACAAAGTCAACTTTGACGGATTCTGCAACCACAGAAAGAATTCCACCTATGACAAGCACAGAGGGCCGAGTTGTTTATGCAACTGTGGAAGGAAGCGCTCTGGATGAAGGAGAAGATGTGGACGTGTCTAAGCGGGTGTCCACTGTCTCCCATTTTGCACGCACTTCAGATGGGCGAGGATTGGCATTTGTTAATTATAGTAGCACCCAGGAGCCTACCACTTATGTAGACACTGCCCATACCATTCCTCTTTCTGTAATTCCTGAGACAGAGTGGGGAGAGTTAGTACCTTCTGTTCCATCAGAAGATGAAGTTCTAGGTCAGCCCTCTCAAGACATCAGTGTCATTGATCAGACTCACCTTGAAGCAACTGTGTCTCCTGAAACCATGCGAACCACAACAGAAATCACACAGCGGACCACTCGGGAAGAACAGACTACAGGGAAACAAGTTCCCGCCCTCAGGTCTACCGCAGGCACACCTGTGTCAACAGCAACCTTGTGGGATGAACAAGAAGGTGATGGATCCACATATACAACCTCTGAAGACAGATTGGTGACAAGTTTTGGGAGAGTCCCGATTTTAGAAACAACTTCGGTTGGGAAACTTGAGCACGATGTGTCTTACCCACCTGGTGCCGTCACTGAGCACAAAGCAGAAACAGAGGAAGTGGCAACCCTGACACCAAGGACCAGGCCAGAAGTGTCTGCAAGTCCAGGGCCTGAGCAAAAGTACGAAATAGAAGGTAGTAGTCCACCAGAATTTGAATCACCTTTGAGTCCCTTTAGCACTAGTGTTTCCCAGTTTATGGAGGAAACCACTACTAAGAAAAGGGAGGACATATCCGTGGATTATGTTGATCTAGGCTCAGGATTATTTGAAAAGCCCAAAGCCACAGAGCTTCCAGAATTGTTGACCATTAAAACCATGGTTCCGAGTGACATCGCTGCTACAGTTGGTTCAGTAGACGGACCTCCATCGACCGCAACAGCCAAGCCATCGTCAGCACCCACGGAGAGACCGCCTCTCGTCGACAGGGAGCCCGGTGAAGAGGCGACCAGGGAGGTGGTGCTCATCGGAGAGTCTACATCTCACGTTCTCCCCACTACCCGTGAGGATATTGTGGCCAAGGAAACAGAAACCGATATTGATAGAGAGTATTTCACCACGTCCAGTGCTCCTTCTGCCACACAGCCAACAAGACCACCCACTGTGGAAGGCAAAGAGGCCTCCAGACCTCAGGCGCTTTCCACTCCACAACCCCCGCCGGGGACAAAATTCCACCCTGACATAAATGTTTATATTATAGAGGTCAGAGAAAATAAGACAGGTAAGTCTCTGCTTTCTAGCCATGGCATTCCAGGCAATCGGCATTTTATCTTGAAAGTTACTTTGGGGGAGGAAAAAAATGAACCTACCCAATGCTACCATTAGAAGATAACCTGGAGTGTGAAAAATAAAAGTTGTAGCTTCATAAATTTTTACAAGAATTGGAAGACCATGTAAACAATTTGGAAGAATGTTAGATACGATGTTGTGTTGAAAGTCATAAGAAGCCCTGCTTTGTCATCTAATATAACCAAATCATCACTGTTACATCAATTCTGAACATGCAAAACCAAGTATTTTAATTTCAGTGTCTGTCCATACATCACTACTCAAGTGTAGCACTAGACTGTGTTAACATTCCATTGGTCTTTAACTATTAACCCTTAGTACTTGCAATGTGGACTGTAAAACAGTTGTGTGTATCCCTAGGGTTGACAGAAAGACATCTAAAGGTTTGCTTTGGTTTCTCTCTTCCAGGATTTTGTAGATTTATTACAGGACCTGTGGAGTGTGCAATAGGTGTATCGGTTAACTGTTATTTTAATGCAAATTCTGTGTATTTTCAGGCTGTTGCTTTGGGGGTATTTTAATGGGGCGTAACTCTTTAGAAGTAAAACAGTCTAGCTTAGTTCTAGGCATTGCTATAATTTATTGCATCAAATTTAATTGCAGAAAGTGGCTACATAAGCTCTATGCTTGTTTTTTAAAAGCAAAAACACAGGCTGTAGCGTTTTTTCTTTTATTACTTAATTGTCTTATCTATGGGGATATTTGAGCTCTGGGAGGCGTCTTAAAAATTGTCTCTCTCCTTTGGTTAACGTTTGCCATAGTTTTTATCAAGCGTGACTTATTTTGCCTGAAAGTGAGACCACATCATCTTTCAAATCTGGTAGGCTGAGTTGAGAATGCCTAGCACATCTGCGTCAGTAGATGGAGTCAGGCTTTTTGGTTTTGAGGTTAACTGTGGGACTTTCATATAAGAATTAAATGAATGAATATTCACTTTTCTTTGACCTGACTCTGAGAAGCTAGACTAGGAGAATATTTTTCTATTAGGGGTTCTCGCTCTCTCTTACTATCAATATCTTCCCATCAGGATATCATTTTTCCAAAGAGTGCTAATACCTTCATGAGTGTCCTCAGGTGCACACCAGTTCACAGCAAACAGGTGGCTGTCTTGTGAAGTCAGTTGGCATCCAGTGCTGGAGGGGCATGCGTCGTGGCTTCTCTACTGTCCAGAATGTTCTCAGTGTTAAATCTTTGGTGTGGCAGTGAATGATAGAGACCACATCTCCGGAGTCCTGAAATTTATCTCCACTTCCTAATACAGTTGAAAGCGGCCAGGATTGGAGCATGATTTTTTTTTTTTTAGGAAACCATAATGTATTTCCTCTCTTCTACATTACTTTTCTGTCTCTCAAAACTGGAGTGGGAAAGAGAACAAGAGTTGCCAAGAAGTAGGAGTGAGAAGAAGCTATTAGCAGGCTTGGAAAGAAGACAGGAAGGTAAAACTTAAAAAGAAAAAAAAAAAGTAAAGAGAAGCAAAACAATAATTTGAGGATTAAAAAATACTTGAGCAATTAACTATGCAGAAATATTTCTCAATTTCTGCTACTGTTGTTAGTGTAGAGACTGCATTTAATGGAATACTGTAAAACACAATAAAAATGCTCTACATTGAAAAACTCTTCTGAATGGGAAATTGGGAGTTTAGGTTGGGGTGGCTGAATTACAGCATGGAAAAAGTCCCTCTCCCCAGCAGAATGGGCAGCCCTCAGGAAGAAAAGAGCTAAGTTTATAAAGGGCTACTCACACTGGAGAGAGGGCACCCCCTAACCCGTAAACTGCCCATACAAAGATGCATGCTCGTATGTGCGTTGTGGCCTTAATTCAGCTGGACTTCTGGGACATGCATGGGTGTTTCTTCTTGCTTCTTTTAGAACATGAACCCGTGGTCTGCCTTCGGCCTGATTTTGTTTTGAGTTGATAATAACAGGTCAGGAGGCTGTGGGATACTTGGTGGCCCTCGGTAGGTAAGATTCCAGTGTGTGTGTTGGGGCATGTGCCTGCGGAGTAATTATCTCGCCCTCTCTGTCTGTGCTCTCTGTGGACTGTTCTATATACGCGTTCTCCCTGAGACTGAAAGCAGTTATTATCTTTACGACCACGGCATTTACTCAGATTCAGCTGCTTACTTATCCTAATTTTATTTGTTTTCTTTGAGAAATTTAATTTTCCAACATTTTGAACTTTGGCAAAGGTAAACCCTATAGCAGATGTTCAATTAATGAGTTCGAAGGCAGGTGTATACATTAACAAGGGAAAGTGCCCATGTGCCTGGAAAACCAACCTTTTTTTTCTTGCATCAAGGCAAGATTTTCCAGACTGGAAAATCCTACACGCATGTGTGAACTCGTGTAAATCTATTCACAAAAATAGAATTAGCCTTTACATATATTGTGTATTGAAGTAAGCAAAACTACCACCCATGCTACACTAAAACAAGGTATTCATAATTTTTTGCTGTCCTCAGCAAGTCATATAAATCTTGATTTTTTTTTTTTTTTTTACTGCAGTGAAACAAAACATGGTTATGTTGTATTTGCTCAAATGGATCTTAATAGCAAGTTAGGCTGCAGTGGCTGGAAGGCAACTGTAGTTAGCAGTTAAAAAAAATCTGAAGGAACTTTTCAGCTCATAAAATCTTTATGAGCTGAAAAATGCTATGGGGTGTGTTTAACAGTGGTTCAGGGGATACTGAGAACTTGACTCCTATTTCAAGAGTAATTTGCACACCTGCATTTTGAAAAATTATTGAAAGATTTTCTTTGTGAACATGTGTGCCAGCTATAGGATTTGAAGGTGTCGGAAGAGTTTCTTCAATTTTAGAATTATTTTTCTAAAGACGCTGTCTCTAAATCATTTGAAATCTTAAAAATTGCTATAGCAGGACTGCACATGTTTTCATAAACTGATTTACCAATATATTTAAATGATTTGGAAATTCACAGATATTAAATACCAATATAATTATTATCAGAATTGCCCTTGGAGCCCTGTCTTTTCTGGGGTTCTAGGCTGCTGCTTTCATGCTGAAAGTGAGCGGAGCTGGTACCTGCACCTGTGGGTGGTTCCCTTTGTGGGCTCCAGCTATGGCCTCACCACCAGAGGAGCTTGTTTCTTTGTGTAGGAAGCTAGAATGGTGTCTCCCACCACTCACTTGTTTCTCAGTATCTAGAAAATCCCCTTCCAATACCCAATGAAAACAGGAAAAGAAAGTTTATCTTCTTTTCCTTTCTGTAGTATGAAGAAAATACTTGACCTTAATGTTTCCAAATTATTAATGGGCTTAGTACTATACCAGAGACCAAGGGTCTCTATTTAAAAAGTCCTTCACAGTGAAATATTTCACATGTATAACATGTGCGTACAGACACAGAGAGACATACCCATGTACACATATAGAATCTCAACTTTTTAAATGTCTGAGGATAGTTTCATTAACCTGCTAACCTCAATGGGAAAAAAAAAAAAAGTTAAGTGGTTTTTTTCAAAGATGGAGGTGTAATAATGAAAGAAGCATTCTATGGCTAGACAAAATGGACGGTAATAGGACTTCATTATCTACTTCCTAGAACCAATGCTTATTCTTTCTGACAGTGGCCCTTGTAGTTATAACTTGCCATGATCAAAACCACCCCTGAGGCCGGCACCGCGGCTCACTAGGCTAATCCTCCGCCTTGAGGCGCCGGCACACCGGGTTCTAGTCCCGGTCGGGGCTCCGGAATCTGTCCCTGTTGCCCCTCTTCCAGGCCAGCTCTCTGCTGTCGCCAGGGAGTGCAGTGGAGGATGGCCCAAGTGCTTGGGCCCTGCACCCCATGGGAGACCAGGAGAAGTACCTGGCTCCTGCCATCGGATCAGCGCAGTGCGCTGGCTGCAGCATGCTGGCTGCGACGGCCATTGGAGGGTGAACCAACGGCAAAGGAAGACCTTTCTTTCTGTCTCTCTCTCTCTCTCACTGTCCACTCTGCCTGTCAAAAAAAAAAAAAAAAAAGATATGAAAAGAAAAACCACCCCTGAGGCAGAAGCACTATCCAAGAACAAACCCCACTTAACTACTATGGCATTAGCTCGAGAGACATGCGCCACCATCTTCCAGTAGAACACGGCCAATCAAGAATTGTGTTCAAGTAAATCTACCACCTGCCTCAGCTCTCACAGATACTGAAAAGGGGACACAGAATAACATAAATCATGGCCTTTAAATGCATATTGGAGAACCATTACCAACACAATTAAATATAACTGTGGTGTGCACACACACACACACACACACAGAGCTAGGTAGGCAATGTTCTCTTTCTTTGTATGACAGAGTGAATGATAGATGCAATCAGCAAAGGAATAAGAGAAGAGAGGAAGTTAAGGAATATTTTATAAGAAGGTAGCATTGTAAGGCTCCTTAAACTGGAGGGGTAGATTAAAGAGAAATTACAGGAAGCCAGTTATTAGCCTGTCCTTCTCAAACGAGGCTCGGCACAGGGGCCAAGGAGGCCCGAGTGTAATGAGCTATTTCTAAATCGAACAGGGATCACACAGAGGCCAGAGCTTGCCTCGGAAGCTGAATGTCTTTCCAGGAGTCACCCAGGGACCCAGACAGCTCTTGGGAGCCACACCCTCAGCTGGGTTCCCCGGGAAGGAGTGTTCTCACCCCTTTGTGTACGTCAGCGATTCTTAGATTTGGATAAAGACAGGGTCTTCTGTGGGTTGAGTAGGTTCAGTGTTTTGAAATAATCTTCATGAGTCATGAAGTACCATGATTCAGACTTACACATTTGTGAGAAAGAAGGCACGGAGCTATTTTTAAGAGTACCTGCACACTCCGAAAGTTGATGCAAATGTTTATGATCCCGGAATTCCAATGAATGCTGAGTCAGCAGGATTACAGGGCAGGTGCTCTAAACTGGGAGGGTGACGTCAGCCTCTGCTTTGCTTATCTGC